AGGAGCGGCCACTGCACTCCAGCCTGGGTGACAGAGTGAGACTCCAACTCAATAAAAAAAGAAAGAAGCCAGCCTCCGGTCTCAGTGTCAGGAGGCAGATGTGGGATTACTACCTTGGCTCCAACTCCTGAGAGCAGAGCCCTCCTTCCCGCTTCCTCTCCTCCTGCAGAAGACCTGAACGGGAAGAGAATCATGAGCAAAGTATTAATTAATTAATTAATTGTTAGAGGTGTGATCTCACCATGTTGCACAGGCTGGTCTCGAACTCCTGAGACCAAGCGATCCTCCCACCATTGCTGGAAATATAGGCATGAGCCACCACGCCTGGCCAAATATGTATGTATGTATGTTGTTTGTTTTTTTTTTTAAACCAACTTAGTGTCTGTATAACCTACTCATTGAAAGTGACAAGAACTTAAGCAGTCAATGATTTGGTAATGTATGAATAGAGAACTGCACACACATCCACACATCCACAGATGCATATGCGTGACCTGCTTCTGAGATGGTTCATTCAGTGGGCAGAGGAACTTGAGGAAACCGTGCAGCTCCCTGCCGAAGCAGAGGAATATTTGGGGGTGGACCGTGTCCACAGAGTAACTTAATCATGTAGGAAACTCTGAAGAGTAAAAATTAGAGGCCCTTAAACAAAATGGTTCAGTGACTTGTCTTTGTCAATGGCGATCTAGGAGCAGCGGTCATCCTCGAAATCTGTCACTGCAGAAAAGTAGCCAGGGCCCATCTGAGGTTTCTCTGGAATTAAGAGGCCCTGAGTGAGCTGCTAACACAAGACAGGTTAGGAGTCAGTAGGAAGAAAGAGCAGTGGCAGTCTTCAGGGTGAGGAGGCAAGGCGGCCGTGGAATAGCGGTGGGAGAGGGCACCATTCCACCATTCTCTGCCCTGACAGCCACACAGGATAGGACATGGTCACCAAACTTTGTCTGCTGCAAGACAAACCGAGGCATTAGAGGGAAGAGAATGACAACTGGAGAATGAACCCAGACCCAGGAAGCCAACCTACGTCTTCATTTTGGATCCACCACTTCCTAGCAATTTGGCCTTACTCAAATCTGCAGGCAGTTTAAGAAGAACCGGTGAATAAAGTGAAAATAAACATAACAGACAGCAAACAAAGTCTCTGGCACCCCTTGGTTCATAGAAGTCAGTCTTCGAGGCAAAAGAATAAAGGAAATAATAAACACAGAGCCTACCAAAAGGGGAGAGGCAGAGAGGGTTCAGAAATTACCTATGGTTATAATGTTTGCTGTCAGGAGTGTGTCACCTGAAGCCCAATCCTCACCATTACATTATATGTCTGTGTAAGAAACCCGCACTTATACCCCTTGAACCTAAAATAAAATAAAATAATTTCTTTAAGAAAAGATATTTGAGGCGGACAAGTGCCCAGAAAGAGAGACAGAGAAGCTGGAAAGCTGGGTCTCCACTGGTTCCTAGCTGCTTGTCTGGGTCAAGTCTCTTAATTCGTAAAGCCTCAGAATCCTCACCTGTCAAGAACAGAATGAGACTGGCAACCTGCTTATCAGGAGGATTGAACGAAGTGACAAAAGTCAAGCACTTCACTTAGTCCCCGCCTCCAGGAAGCACCGAACAAAGGGGATCATGATGACGATTATTACAAAACCTAGCTGTGACAGAGCCCTTTGTTTTCTGTCCCCAAGTGAGTTGCTTGGTGGTTTATGGGGGCAGAGGGTGGTGCAAGTGGCAAGTTGCCTCGCTGAAGGAGCAAGGGTGCCGAAATGCTGTCTGGCCCCTTCCTCTCCCAGAGCTTTGCAATCTTCTCATTTGCACAATGGCATCACGTGGGTTAGCGGAAGATCTGGAATGGGGGTAAGCCCATGCCTTGGCAATATGTTCTGGGAGAGGAAGATGTTTTCCCCCAGAGCCTAACCAAGCATCACCAAAGTAAGGATACTGTGAGTGGTTACCCTCTTCCTGGGTGCCTCCAGCTTTCTGTCTCCCAGGCTCAGCTTTGTCCTCCCATTACACCCCCAGGAACACAAATAACCTTGGACTACAAAGGAGGTAATTCAAAGTGGTGAATCTCCAAGCAGAGTTTGCAACTTGGACAATGTAGTTGTTCCCTTGTGCCACAGGAGAAGGGGGTCCCACCGACTGCAAGTTTGGAACAAAGGGCACCACCCCCTGCGTCAGTCTGTCTATCTCTCTCTCTCTTCATCATGCCATCCTTTTCCCACGGTCCTTTCTTCCAAGTTCCCTGGCCTGTTGGCGTCAGCTTCTCCTTCCGCAAATTCCATTAGGAGGGGACTCAGAATCTCCCTGCTAGTGCCCTGAGCCTCAGGCCTGATGCTCTTGATTCTCTTCCCATTCAGGTCTTCTGCTGAGGAGCTCAAAGGCCATCTGGTTCATAATTGTGTGATAAAACTTGTTTTAAGTGTAGGTTGAAGCTTATTTTGAATGTATATTGAAACTTGTTTTTAAAACTCAGATGTATGCTTGCTTTCCCACCCAAGCCCAGTAGTATACTTTTGGTAAACAAGTTCACATACCAAAAGAAAACCACGGAGTCACGGTGCAGACCCTCTGGCCCCATTTCCTGCTCCACTCCCTGGGTAATCTCACATTCCAGATATCCCAACCGGTTCCACCCAGCCCACCTGACCGTTGATGGTCAGCTGCCATCAGCTGCAACCTACAACCATACAAACCAACCAATCCCAAACGCCCCCATACCCAGTAGGAGAAATTACCCAATCCTGTGCGAACAAGTTTAAAGTTCTTTCCCCTCCCTTGTAACTGTGTATATAAGCTGCTTGCTGCACTGGGTCGGGGCTCTCGTTCCTGTACCGCTGTGCTGGTTACGGACGTGAGCCCAGACTCAAGCCTGAATAAAGACCCTCGTGTGATTTGCATTGGAGTGGGCTCTTTGGTGGTCTCTCGGATTCAGGATTTGGGTACAACACTACAGGAGGAGAGGAAGCGGGAAGGGGGGCTCTGCTCTCAGGAGTTGGAGCAAAGGTAGCAATTCCACATCTGCCTCCTGACAGTGAGACTGGAGGGTGACTTCTTGACTAAGAAGCACACCCATGCAGCCGAGGCTAGCATTAATTCTCTTTGGGGGATGGCACAATCTAATTTCACAGTGGAGAAAGAATGTTTTCTTTCATTCCTGTGGTTGGGAGGTTGCCTCTTGTGAAACAAAGACCCCAGCATTATTGGGCTAAAAAGCACTCAACTCTTTCCCGGATTTGGCTTCGACTCCAAGAGAGAATGCAGTAGCTGAAATGGCTTCCCATCTACTTGCCTGACTGAGTGGCTCCGGCTTATAGCTGGTGATATGTTTTTAATTCCAAGATATTTCTAGTCAATGGGTTTTCAGTTTCTTTCATCCAAGTGTGTTCTACTACTAGCATTAACGACCATCTGGGGCTGGCGCATCAGAGCTGACGTGGGGACGACGTGGGGCCGCCGCCGGCTTGCTGGGCGGCGGCGCAGCTCCTGCGCGGCGGTCGGCCGGCGTCTCCCCCTCCTCGCGTCCGTGAGCCGTGACGAGGTCCGCTTCGTAAACCCCTCCGCTGCGGGATAAATAAAGAAGAAAAGGAGGAAGAAGCAAAGCGTTGATTACAAATGTCTTAATAATGAGCAAATGTAGCAGGAAAAAATATATTAGGACGAATCTAAGGTCTCTGTACCTGGATCAGGCACCGGAAGAGGCTCTCCAGCTGTAACTCTAGTGCAGTTACCTTCGGGCCAAACTGTGCATGTCCAGGGAGTAATTCAGACACCACAGCCATCGGTTATTCAGTCACCACAGATACAAACTGTTCAGGTAGCAACAGTTGCAGAGACAGATGAGTCTGCAGAATCAGAAGGTGTAATTGATTCTCATAAACGTAGAGAAATCCTTTCACGAAGACCCTCTTATAGAAAAATACTGAATGAACTGTCCTCTGATGTGCCTGGTGTGTCCAAGATTGAAGAAGAAAAATCAGAGGAAGAAGGAACGCCACCTAACATCGCTACCATGGCAGTACCGACTAGCATATATCAGACTAGCACGGGGCAATACACCGCCACTGGTGACATGCCAACTTACCAGATCCGAGCTCCTACTACTGCTTTGCCTCAGGGTGTAGTGATGGCTGCCTCGCCGGGGAGTCTGCACAGTCCCCAGCAGCTAGCAGAAGAAGCCACACGCAAGCGAGAGCTGAGGCTTATGAAGAACAGGGAAGCTGCCCGGGAGTGTCGCAGGAAGAAGAAAGAATATGTCAAATGTCTTGAAAATCGTGTGGCTGTGCTTGAAAACCAAAACAAGACTCTCATTGAGGAACTCAAGGCCCTCAAAGATCTTTATTGCCATAAAGCAGAGTAACTGTCTTTGACTTGGACCTTGTTTACTATGAACTCTAATCAAGGCAGGAGATGCAGCAGTTCTACTAATTGCCATGTGGACTCGTGGAAGGGACACTTGTGATCCTTAGGAATCCAGTTGGGCTTAGTGTTTGACGTTGCATTGGGAGTGTTGTTCCAAGATTTGGAATGCAACCATGATCACTTTACCACGCTTACTTCAATCTCTGTGTCAGTAGCATGCAAAAATGTTCTGTTTGCCTTTTTGCTTGTGCGTTTTTCAGGGAAGCGGCTAAAGAATGTCGACGTCGAAAGAAAGAATATGTAAAATGTCTGGAGAGTCGGGTCGCAGTGCTGGAGGTCCAGAACAAGAAGCTCATAGAGGAGCTGGAAACCTTGAAAGACATTTGCTCTCCCAAAACAGATTAGTAGAAATATTTAACTATGAACTGACAACAGCATGTGTACAGTTGCTTTTGAAGGCAATACAATATATAGCCAGCAAGAATGATGACTTTTTTCCTTTGTATCATTCACCTTACTCTCTAATCTCTAACATTCCTAAAATACTTCATTGTACGTAGTTAAGTCTTAGCTATGACTTCAATTTTTTTAAAGCGACAAACTGTAAAAAAAATGTATGTAACAGATTCTTAAAATGCAGTATTTTCCCATGCCACCTATTTGCAGTTCCCGAGCTCTGTGTCATGAATAGTGTCCTATGCAATAAAATTTTTTGCAGGTCTTTAAAAATCATTTTAGGGAAGGATGATCAAAGATAATGCATCCAGCAGTACAGTAAAATTCAATCACAAAAAAATACCTCAGGAAAGAATTGAAAGAAAGTATATCTAATGATACGTGTATGTGAGAATAGCCTAGAAATGAACTTATGGCATCTGCAGATTTTTATATTAGTTGCTTTGTAAAGAAAATATTATATTGCTGTCCTTGAATGCCATAGTTGAAGAGAGTTTTTAATAGAACCATGTTGGTTGCACTTTGTAGTGTTTGGTGCTCATTTAAATATCTGAACATTTGCTACGGTTTTTAATTCTATTGTGTAATATAAAAGGTCTTGCAGAAAAAAAAACAAAACAAAACAAAAAAAACAACAATCTGTGGCTAGACTACAATCCACATGCTGAGATCGCCTAGAAAAAATTAAAATTCTTCTTTGCTCAATAGTATTATGGAGATCGCCCACGGTAAAGGTCTAAGACACCATCTGTAAGACAGGGTGGAGAACTGCCCCCCTCCTGTCTTTTATGAGTCTAAGAACTCATGAGAGTGAGCTGGTATAGATTTGGGGGCTCTTTAGAAGACGATGAAAATGTAGTTATCAAGCTAAAACAGGCATGAAGACCATGTACTCCACCCACATGATGCCATGAAATGACACATCAGCAGGGCAGCGGCTGGACCAACTTATGTGCTCACATATGAGTCATGTCTGGCTTTATAGCCACTTTGCAGAGAGACCTGGCATGCCATGTGTGTTGGGCGGGGAGAGGGCGCCTCCTCAAGAATTAGAAGGGTGTCATTCTGGAAGACTCAGTGAACACACCTCCCAGTTAATTTGCCTCTGTGGAGTCCCATCCCACCCAGACTCTGTTGCTAGCTTTGGCTAATGAGTGTCACGAAGCACCCGGCAAGTAGAGCCTGGAACTCTGCAACTCTGCTTTGAGGAAGCCCTGACAGTCACGTGGGGAGACCCATGTGGGAAAAACTATGGTCACAGCCCCAGCTCAGCTCTCAGGTGGTGGCTGCTGGCTCATGCTAGGATGGTGCCGTGCGGCTGTCCCAATATCCAGCGGATGTCACATGGAGCAGAACTGCAAGGTCAACACACAGTCCTGAGAGATGATACATGTTGTTTTGGGGTGGGTTTCTTTTTTCTTCTGCAGCTATCGATCACTGAAATACTCTTCCAATTAATTCAATCCAACCACGATTTCTCGAGTGTTTACTATATGCAAAGCATGACTCTAGAAACTGTATGCCAACTCCCAGCAGAGGTGCCAGGCAGGGGAAAGTGGACAGAAATAGGGAGACAGGAAGGACCCATCCCTGGTCAATCTGGAGGAGTAGATACACTCAAGGGTAAAGACCTAGAACTACAAATGGGCCATTTCCTGGGCGTCAAAATAGGTGTCGGAGCAGATTTTTAAAAGTGAAACCAAAATCCGAGCCAGAATCTTAAACCAGAATGCTAAGCTATTTAGGGACAGTTTTCAGAAAAGTTGATGAGGCCTACAGGAAAGTCGAGAGACATGCCCCTCGCGGAGCTATGCAGGTTCAGAATTGACAGGGCATCAGAGCAGCCTAGAGTTAATCACACGTCAAGGTTTAGCTTTTCAAAACCATTGTTATGCTGGTGTGGCTGCCACTGAGCAAAGTTCTAGGTCCCAGTGGATGCAGCTAAGGGAATGGTGATGAAATATAGGGTGACTCTTCAACAGAGAGGGAACCGAAGGTAGAAAGACACTGAATTTCCCATCCTTGAAAAATACAATCATGCCGCTTTGGGAGTGGATAGAAAAATTCAGCATACCAGGAAGAGTTGGGTGTGGTTCCCATTCATTCATTTCAATCAATCAGCACGTATCATTGGAAGCCTACTGTGTGCCAGGTACTGTTCAAGGCTCTGGCGATACCGCGGTAAAAAATAAGAGGCATTCTCCTCTTCCAATAGAGCTTACATTCTGTGGGAAAGCAGACAGTAAGCATTCAGTCAAATATCTAATGTAATGTCAGATAGTTACTATGGAGACAAATGAAGCATGCAAACAGGTAGAAGGGTAACGATTTGAGCTTGGTCAGGAGGTTTTCTAAAAAATCTGCCTTTTGAGCAGAGGCCAGGTGAGAAAGTCAGCCACCTTGGAGGAAGGAAGAAACAGCACATGGGAGGAAAAAATCGTAAATGCAAAGCCCCGGAGGGCAGCATGACCTTGGGTTCTTTGAAAGCTGGTGTGGAGTGAGCAGGAGGGTGAGTTGTAGGATTTGAAGAAAGGAAAACATCTATCCTGTGGAGGTCCCAGTGAAGATTTGGGCAGAAATCAATATATTAGAAGCCATGGCAGAATATCAAATAAAGAAGAGACTGCCCTGTTGTACTTAAAAAAAAATGTTTTGGCTGCTGTCAGATAATAGACTATAATGAGATGGGGGAAGAAGGAGTGAACGTAGGTGGCTCTTTACCTGTCTGATGGCTAGGACTAGGCTGGTGGGGGAAAGGTCAGTATGTTTTAAAGATAGAGATGACAACATGTGCCAATGGCTGGATATTGGGAATGAAAGGTTGGGCATGCCAGAAGAGAGGAACCAAGAATGAGGCCAATGATTTAGGCCTGAGTACCTGGCTGGCTGATGGTGTCATCCACTGGAATGGGGAAGATAGGGTGGGAAAAAAAGTTGGAGCATCAGTCGTTCAGTGCTACGTGTGTGAAGTTGAGATGCTTATTCAACATCTAGCTGAAAGTGTGAATGAGCACTGAGAAGTAAGATTCAAGAGTTCTGGAGAGGTCTTTGCCAGAGAAATGACTTTGGGAATCCTGAGTTAATCGATGATATTTAGAGCCATGGGAAAGCAAGAGTGTAGAATGGAAAGTGAAGTGGGCTTCAGACGCTGTAATATCCTAGGCCAGGAAGAGGAGAAGGAACTGCAAAGGGACCCGAGAAGTAGCCACCAATGAGATGGGAGGAGAGCCAAGAGTAAGTGGACTCCGAGGACTAAAGGTGGTAGAATAGCTTGGTTGCTGTATTAAGTAGTGCTGAGACAGAGAGAGAGATGGACTTGGGCAATGTGGAGTTCATTGGCAATTTTGACAGGAGGATTTATTGAAGTGATTGGTATGAAAGCCTGACCAGAGTATGTTCAGGAAAGAATGAACTTGTTCTTAAGGATATTAGCTATCAAAGGGAGCAGAGAGATGAGCCAATAACTGGAGGACAAGGGTATATTTTTCCTTAAGAGAGAAGATACTTCAGCAAGTTTGTATGCCAATAGAAATAATTTATTGGAGAAGAAGCAATAACCAAGAAATGAGAAAGGTACTTAGAGGACAAACGAAAGAGTTGTCTCTTAGATAAAAGCACAAGTTCTAGTATCTACAAGGAACTCAAAGGAAAAGAAAAGAAAAGAAGACAAACAGTCCCATTAAAAAGTGGGCAAAAGACATGAATAGACACTTCTCAGAAGAAGAGATACGGGCAGCCAACAGACACATGAAAAAGTGCTTAGCCTCACTCATCATCAGAGAAATACAAATCAAAACCACATTGAGATACCTCCTAACCCTAGCGCGAATGGCCATTATTAATAAAGCAAACAACAACAGATGCTGGTGAAGATGTGGAGAAAAAGGAATTCTTCTACACTGCTGGTGGGAATGCAAACTAGTGCAACCTCTCTGGAAGACAGTGTGGCAATTTCTAAAAGAACTAGAAATTGACCTTCCATATGACCCAGAAATCCCCTTACTGGGAATATACCCAGAGGAACTCAGATCATTCTACAAAAAAAGATGCCTGCACACACGTTTGTTGCAGCTCTATTCACAATAGCAAAAACATGGAACCAACCAT